TCATCATCATTATTATTATTATTATTATTATTATTATTATTATTATTATTATTATTATTATTATTATTATTATTATTTATTTCATCAATCTCTTTTACCATTTGATCAATGTCACCAGTAGTATTTGATCGACTTCGCTTTTGACCTATTTTCGATCCAAATTTTTGTGTTGGCATTACTACTACATTAGTGCCCGTTGTTTTATTAGGATTATTTATCAAGTCTATTAAATGTTCAATCTCACTTGTCGAGTTCTTGATTGACGCCTGTGACGGTGGTGTTTCGGGAAGATACACTCGAGAAAGTGGCGGTGCAGATCTAGAACCATGAAAACGTTCCAAACCATCATCATTAATAGACAGAGACAATTTTCTGTCTCGTGGTCTTTGCTCATGAGCAACTCCGTCTGCACTACTAATATATCTACTGTTTTCTCCTATAATTGGTTGTTCAGACCCAAAAGGACTCACGGCTTTAATAGTCGGTAAAACAAATTCTTTTTGTCTTATATCATTGGCAGCATCGATATTTAACGGGGAAAGTGTATTATTAGCACTTGTTCTATCAACAGCAATAGTCTCGATTTGCTGTTCTATTTTCTTTTGCTTTTGTAATTCTTCAGCTTTACTCCACGAGTATCTTGTATTTTTTTTGTCATATGGCACTGGGGTAACGCCTTGTGCCAGTTTTCGCAATGTAGAAAAATCATTCTTTCGTTTCTTTTCGATTACTTTTGTTGTCATACTCATCGATTTTTCTTCTAGGTACGAAACATCTACTACTAGATTAGCCTCTGCAAAATAAGGATGTTTTAACGCGTCGAGTGCAGTAAGTCTGTTTTTTGGGTTATAACGTAATAAACTGGTGATCATTTGTAGTAATGATTCTGGAGTAGTGGATGGAAATATTTTCGATAGAGGTTGAGAAGGAGTCTAATAATATAGTAATAATTAAAGAGATTATTCTTTGAATTTTCAATAAATTCATCTAAAATTAACTTACCGATGGAAAAACAAATCCTATATTCTTTGCCAATTTTAAACCTTCCTTCCATTCACCGCCTCCTACATCATCAGTCTGGCCCGAAATATTATCTATGCAAGTACTGCTAGGATGCCCTAATACAGTACATATTCTGAACATTTGATCAATCTCGCTTTGGCCAGGGAAAAGCGGTTTCAGTGTATACAATTCAGCCATAATTGCACCGATTGCCCATAGATCTATCGGTGCCGAATAACTAGTAGATCTTAAAAGAACTTCTGGCGCGCGATACCTAATTTTTTTAGTTACAAACATTAATATTTTTTGTGCTCTTCAGTATTTTCGTAATTACTATTAATACAAACTCAATAGCCTCACCATCGCGTACTGACATAGTCTGTATAAGGTGGCCTTGATTTTATTTCCCTGGCCAAACCGAAATCTCCAATTTTCACGATATATTCAATATTATCATTGTCATCATCTTTATTGTTCATTTTGGCAATGTCATTTTTATTTGACTGAACTCGAGCAGATGATGATGAACATTCATGTTGTTGATAATGACTTTGGTGATCGTCATAGCATAATAAGTGATCTTCTTCTACATGTAGCAATGAACAATTAACAATATTACCGTCATTGTTTTGCAACGGCAAAGTTTTTGTCATCATCGAGATTAAGATATTTTCGGGTTTTAGATCACGATGAAAAAGTCCACACGAATGGATATGATGGACTCCTTGCAGAACTTGAAACCTTTGATAAGGAGGATATTATTGATGAAGTGATGTTTTTGCGCAAATGAAGAATAAATTCTATGATTTTCTGTGTACAATACAAATAATACAACACAAGTGAACATAAGAGTTTTGAGCAGCCTTCGCGTGGAAGCAGCAGCCCAACAATGGCAACAACCATGTGACAATAGTAATGCTTATTAAATAATAATAGAAAAAAATACGTCTCTGAAATACATACATGATTGATTGAAAAACCCGTTCGCTAAAAAGCTTGCCTTTTCGGTCTTTGATTATTTGATAGAGATTCACTTGCATAAATTCAAATACAAAATATAATTCACGTGTTTGAGGGATCAAGAAGGCTTCTAGAAGTCCAATAACGTTAGGATGCGATGGTAGGCATCTCAAAGTCTAATTTTTTTTTTAATCAGAGATAGAACAAAAAATCAAAAAAGACCGAGGAAGTATAAATAAAAATAGTTGTTCAAATTACCTTAAATTCTCGTAGCTCGCATACTTTTTCCCAAGATGAAATCTTCTTTTTCATCTTTTTAACGGCCACCTGATCATTTTACAAGAAGTAGCAGTTGGGAAATGATGATAAGGAAATAGTTCTTTGCCCGGTAACATATATATCAAAAGAATCAGCACAAGATCAGCCTCTCTTAATGATATATAAACTTGAATATTTGATAACGCGCACACGTACGCCTTCTCATATCAAAAGTGATGATAATTTTTTTGAAATTATTAAGACCATGAAAACGGGGAAATGAAAAACACAGATGACGCGCTCTTTTAATATAGGATTTAAAATTTAATGGTGTGCATATGTATTATAAAGTCATTTTTGGTTCACTTGTCAAAACAGTACACACTTCTTTTTATTTGCTATCTTTCTTCTTCAAAAAGTAAGAAAAGGAGCAGGATCCTTTAAACAAGAATGTCAACTAAAAAGTGGCCAAAACTCACCAGCTGGCCTGTACTCTTGTGTTGTGCTTGAAGGACAACACCAAAAGATCCATCACCCACTTCTTTTATCAATTCGTAATCTTCCATTTTATTTTCTTATATATTTAGAAAGATATAAATGATATAAGAGTTAACAACTAAAAAAGTTAAGATCAAGTTCTAATAGTAAAGCAAAGAAATATTGGTTTATATATTACAGCATTAAAGTTGCAGATGGTAAAGGTCGATCCGGATTGATCTGAATTCTAATATTGTGGTTTTACGATCTGTTCATAAAACAATTCAAATATTTCAAGGGTTCCAGGTTTAAAAATATCAATCACAGGGACAACAATTAGACAATCTGATTTGATGTACACAATAACCCGACGACACAACATGGTAAGCAAGCAATACACGTTTATTGGGAGGATAGTTAGAAAGTTAGCAATGCTATTGCACTCCTACACATATTAGAATCATATGGTGGTATCACGTTTATTGAGAGCATAGTCGAATGCTGTCACAATGTCAGAATAGAGAACACGACGTTGAATGATCTGCCATGACAATGCAGTTTCTTTTGTGCCGTTTAATAAACTTGTATTTTTTTTTCTCTTCTTTCTATGTTTACGTTCAAAGCGGTTGAGCATCGGACCAAGAGGACGCGTGTGGAGAGCGAAGATGACAAGGCCTTAGTAGATCGCACAAGACGTCTATGTTTTATATGTGTGCTTTCGCCCACCAAAGAGCACAGGCTATCCTCCTTGGTCAAGCATTGCATCCAAGATTCTTGAGGACATGCCCCTCCACTGGTTCGAGACGTTTTTGGAATGCGCGATTGCCGCACTTGGTCGCATGATTCAAGATGGTCGGACGCCTTCCGAATGTTGGGAAATGCAGATGGATCCCAGCAAAGAGAAGAAGTTCTGGACTGACGTTACCACTGACCTACAACACGCGCTCGAAACAAGTACCCCAACGATGGAAAGTCTTCCCAAGCAACTATATGCAATCTCTGACGCACCCACACCCAAATTTATGCTGTGTCTAGATGAGGCACGCATCCTGACCACGACAAATTCACGAAGCAAATAAACGATCTCTATTCAGGATCATTCGACGTGCTTACAAAAATATCGGATGGAAGAACTTTATGTGCTTCATGTTAGATGCAGCTGGTTCTCTGTCCAATTTCGCACCAACTGAGACACGTGACCCGTCCTTACGGCGCCCAACTGCCAAGCCACTTAAGTTGCTTCCGCCATTCATTGATGTTTCAACAATGGATGCATTGTTCACGAGACAAGTGGAGAATCCAACTGACAAGTTTCTCCTAGTTCGTGCCTTATGGGCTGCATTGCTTAAGTCTGGCTTGTCAATTGAAAGGGCAGTTGAAACCACAGAAATAAAGTTACTTGGCGGCACTACTACTAAAGCGGTTTATGAACAGTTGGCCATGGCTATCGCTATTATGTCTGTACTGGTTTCTGTGGATATCTCACTTATCACATCTGGTGAGTAGCTATATGGCTACCTGTATTTCCATCATAGAGGACAGGAGCCAAATGCTCGTGATGTATTCATCTGAGCCTATCCTTGCTGAAGCCGCTTTTATACTTGTAGACAGTGATGCGACACTAGTGAAGGTCCTTCAGTTGTTTGGAGCATCATTTCAATGTGGATTCGTTGGTGCCGGCCACCTTGGCGAACTTGTTGCAAGGCTTATCCTAATCATCGCATGGCGGAAATGCATACAAAAGAGTCGGGACAAAGATGGACTTTACACAAGAGAATTATCTCTCAAGGAGTTCTTGTCTGCCTTGTTTGGTGATCTTGATGCCCTAGTCACAACTAACGATTCGTGGAAAGGACAAACTATTACTGGAATCCGTTCTATGCTTTACAGGTAGAATACATTCCGGACAGCGAATTGCTTGAACGACGGGGTGCAGCCGCAATCCTGAAGCACAACCAACCTGGCATCGACCTTCTCATCCCGATTTTTAATTGGTAACTTTCTTGTATACAGCTCAAGTGTGATTGGTCAATTTTCTTCTAAATAAATTTCATGTTGAATAATATCAGTATGACCAGATGTTTTAGTATTAAACAGATCAGCATGGTCATCAAGAAGACTTTGCATTTATTAATTTTTATTATAATTATTGCTTGTTTATAAAGTTTTTCATTAATATATATGGGTTGGTGCAAAAAGATTTGTACCTCAGATAAATATTAATAAATTATTTTTTCAAAATAAAATT